TATCTTGGTGGCTTCTTGGCTCCGCCTACGCCTACAGTCCCTCGCCAAGCCACGAGTCCGTGTGGCGTGTGATGGGATTGCCGCGCTTCGCCAGGCCTTCTCGACTTGGCCGCTGTCTCCCACCGCCTCACACTTCAATCTCTTGTCCTCCATCCGCGAGGCCCTCCGAGTTTCCAACATCTCCTGGGCCGAACAACACGTGGGCGGCCATGCTGACCGAACCAAGACATGGCGACAGATGTCTTGGTGGGAACGACAGAACTCCGAGGTGGACGACATTGCCCAGGGCTACGCCGACGAGCTGATCGCCACCAACGACACGATCACCACCAACCCCAAGTTCTTCTCCGAACCCTGTGCGATCTACATTGGCAACGAGAAGGTCTCCTGCCTGGCCTTGGAATCGGTCGACGAAGCCGTTGTCCTGCCGGAATTGATGGAATACTGGGCAGCCAAAGGCCGCCTCGCTCCCGAACACTTCCGTTCGGTGGACTGGCCGATAGTGCACCAAGCGATGAAGTCTCTGAAGCCCGCCGAACAGCGCTTCATCACAAAACACACCGTTGGGATGTGCGGTGTCAGCAAGTTCCGTAAACGATGGGGCCTCGACTCCAAGAACCGATGCCCCTTGTGCGGCCTGGAGGAAGACCACCTACACGTCCCCCGCTGCCCTTCTGACCGGGCCAAGACCCAGTGGCAGCTTCTACTCCAAGAACTCCAAGAATGTTTCCAGTCCACCACCGCTGCTACACCCATCGCCCAATTCCTCGGGGCCCTTCTTCGCACCATCCGCACCCCTAACAACCAGCCTCAAACAGAGACTCCGTGGTACCGCCTACACGGAATGTCTTCTTCCGCCCTCACCCAAGTCTGTGAGGCTCAACTCCGCCTTGGCCCCCAATGTCTCCTCGAAGGCCTTCTCGTCCACAGCTGGGCCGACCTCCAGCAACAATTCTACCGCTCTCGCGGTAGTCGCCGATCCGGTAACCGCTGGGCTGCCAATCTATCTCGACAGCTCATCCTTATCGGTAAAGGCATGTGGAAGCATCGCAATGATGTCTTTCATTCTGACGACAACATCGTCAACCAACAGCGCGCGACTGCTCTCGATTGACGCATCCACGAAGAATTTGACATGGGTCTTTGCGACCTACCTCGGAACCTTCGCCCTGTCATCCGTCGATCCCGCCTTGTAGACGTCCTCCGACTCCACCTGGCGGACAAGGAGGAATGGGTCCTCGTCATCTCCGAAGCCCGCCGCAAAATCAGACGATCTCTTGCAGGCAGGCAACAATTGATGTGGGAACTGACCCACCCTACCCCTCGCCCAGCAGCCCCCTGACTTACTTGTCTACATATTTACCAAAGTGATTCTGATACCGGTACATCACAAGCCACACGTACCCCAGTCTAACACATACATATTCTCCACCCCACCTCGCGTGGGAGAGCCGATTGTCCCTTAACACTTTTGACTTGCGAGCAACGTTCCTCTATTGAACGCCTCCACGTGGTTCAAACTTTGTTGACCAAAAGCAAATATATATATATATATATATATATTATATACAGTGTCCTTGCTGTGTGATCCCGAGTCACAAGTTCCCTCCGAGAAGCAGCAGTGGTGGTGTCTCGAGGCGGAGGTTGGTTGGCGATGGCCGTAGTAGCCCTAGGTGGCGAGCTCGGTAGGAGTGCCATGAGCGGACTTGACTTGGCTGCTCGCGCTGGAGTAGCCGGCAAAGTTGGCTCCTTCGCGGCAGAATCGGCCACGGCTGACTCTAACCTGTCCTGGGGAAAGGAGACCGTGGCTGCAGGTTGGGGAGGCAAAGCCGGCTGCGCGTCTTGGCTCGAAATAGTCTGTTGCAGGAGGCGCAGAGCCGCAAGTTCGTTGGCCAGGGATTCAGAACGAAGTCGTTCAGCTTCCAAAGCGCTGCTCTTCTCAACTAAAAGATTCTCCTTAAACTCAATTTCAGTGATTGCCGCTTCCAATTGGCTATCCTTCTCAAGTAACTCATCCATGGCGCCTGCTACTGTAGCTCCATCATCGATATCTTTTGCATCTGCCATTTCCATATCGAATTCCAACTTAGCTTCGGCGACATCAAGTGGGTCAGACCCAAAGCCATCAAGGAAGTCGATGGCTTCATCAATGCCTTGTAGGGTTTGGTCCGATGGTCGAGCCCGTAAAGTCTCCAAGCACCACACAAGTTCCTTGCGGCGTGTCGTATGGATCAGAGACATGGACAGCCACTTCGCAATCACCCTATTAACTTGAGTAGTCGTCAACTCCCCCAAATGATGTGTAAAGAACGGAACCAGTCCATTCAGTACATTTGTTGCCAAGGCAGCATATTTCAGCCTACTGATGAACAAATAGGTCCCTTCCATCTCACCGGGTAACACCATGATGAACAAGGGACTAGGAACGTTGTTCTCCAGGTCCATTTTTCTCTTCCTCTCTGCTTCCTTCGCACGGCGCTGCTGCGCAGGAGTGAGAACCAGACCGTCATGCTCCAGAGTCGGTGCCACAGCCGACTTTGGAGGTTGCTTCTTGATCTTCGTCTTCCCTTTGACAGTCACTTTGGTGAACTTGTGGGAGACGTTCTCCAGCAAGGAGTCGTCAGAATCGGAGTCCGAGGTCACATCCGCAGCTGCCACTTTCTCCGCGTGAACTGGTCAGGCTTTGATGGAAAGAAACATAGACAAACAAGTGCGAGGACCAAAGGCTTTGGTTGTTGCCTGTTTCAACATCCCTGGAATCTCAACTGGACAATATTTGGCCTGGGTCAGTTCCACAAAGTCGTTATGCTTTGAGATCATGGTGAGATTCTCATCCTTAACCGGACCCACGGCCTTAACGCTGATTGTCCCATTCTGAGCAGCCTTCCAATCGCTAATGTAGTGTGTGACCGCGCACCATGGAAAATCTTTCTTAGGGGTAGACGGGTGCAGCCATAAGCGTAGTTCTCGATCCGCTCGCTTAGCGTCCCTCGATCTGACGTAAACGTGCCACATCATGCATCCGGGCGATCGTTCATTCCACTTACTGCGGCAGTTGTAGGGAATGTTTACCCATTCGTACCGCAGGCTGATAACCGTCTTCCAATCAAAGTGTCGCATTAGTTCTTTCTCCATAGCCCTGATGTTAATTTCCTGTGGATGGGTTCACAAAAAATTGTTTGAGTTCACAAAAAATCGTTTGGAGTCACAAAAAATCGTTTGGAAAAATCGTTTGATAACAGATGTGACTGAGGAACGAAGTACGTACGGCGTCTGTCATGCGACATCAAACACAATTGCTACATACAGGGACGCACCACAACGTCAAACGCACGCCCGAAATCTGTCCATTTAGATTGTTTTGAGATTTTTTTAAAAAGCTAAATAATTTAAATGTGTCCGTTAAAATGCTCTGCGACTCTGACGCGGGACGTTTCTTTTGACGCAGGATTGACGCAAGTTGGGTCAATTTGACGCGGAGTTGCGTCATTTGAAGCGTAATCGGCGTCAAACTGACGCATCTCTGCGTCAAACTGACGCAACTTCGTGTCAATTTAATCCGGGCTTGCATGTCTTCGACGCGGGACGAAACCCGCGTACCCGTACACGTGTACCAGTTCATCATTGTGATGAAAACATCGGAGTATGTGAATGAATGGAAGTTGGAGTTGTCCACTCGCCTCTCATTCCAATGAGAGTTGCCCATTTCTTCAAAGAAGTTATTTACACTGTGACCTTTGTATCGACTGCCATCTGAGTCCACAGAGCAAGTAACCAGATATTGAACAATGGATCTGATGGAAATTGACAAAGCTGGGGCACATAATGGCGATGATGCTATTATCCAAGCAAGACGCAACGGCCTCATAAATGAGTTCAAAGCCCTCAATGAAATTCACCAACAGATATTTTGGTTTTATTACCTACACATCTTCACCGGTGGAGGTATTGGTGGAGATAGTGAGCTCTGTGGGTCCGTCTTTCACTACAAAATTACAGCAGCTTGGACAGAGAAAATCTCCAAGCAAAAATTCACCTACAGAGCAAAGAAGCTGAAACCACTTGTATTGAAATTTCAAGAATATAGTTTACGCCCAACAGGAGATGTCCCTATTTTTCTTTTTCCATTGGATGGTGGAAGAAGACCCGATCGTGTAACGTTGGACACTCTCCGCTGGGTGCAACACCCACAAAACCCTCAGCCAAGCAAGATGTGGTGATGACTAATAGTTTCTTGTTTGCAGGAGTTGTAAACTTTAAACGGAACATGGTATTCAAAATAGAACCTATAATTTGACTTTTAAGTCCTACACGGCTAGTTTGATTCTTATTTGACAAGGCCATACTATCTCATGGGTTTGCCTACTGTTTTTGTGCCTTTGACTCCTTTCCAAAGCATCATCAGATAATATAAGAAGTAGGGTCCTCTAGGACATTCATTGGAGTATCTCCAAGGTTTGGTGTAAAAATAGTTAATTTGGCACCATATACCATAGACCGAAATTCCTTCAAACAATGTACAACAGCCAACATTTCTTTTTCCATCACAGAGTAATTGCGTTGTGCAACATTGAGCTTACAACTCCAGTAGGCGACTGGTTTACCTTCTTGCATGATTACAGCGCTCATCTGGTAGTCAGACGCATCAGTATAGATTTCAAAGGGTTTGTTTGGATTGGGGTAGAGCATCATTATATCGCTAGCCATGATAGCTTTCATTTCAGCAAATGCTTTTGCACATTCATCAGTCCATTCAAACATTCCTTTGCCTGCAAGCTCTGTAAGGGGTTTGAGAAGATGAGATCAACGCGGCCACATGTGGCGGTAAAAGGTAACAGCACCAAGAAATGCACGCAATTCTGTTACATTTGTAGGCGCTGACATCTTGAGGATGGCATCAATCTTTTTCTTCCACGGCTTGACACCTTCAGGAGTCAACCAATGGCCCAAGAAATCAGTTTCTTGGACACACCACTCGCACTTCAAGGGATTGATCTTGAACCCAGCAGCTTGTAGTCGCTGCAACACTTCTTGGATCAAGGCCATCTGTTCTTCGTAGGAATTGGAGAACAGGCCAACATCGTCAATATAAAATTCAACACCTTTTTCTTTTAGGTCGCGTAGAGTTTTTTTGATATAGTATTGGGCAAAATCAGGAGCCGGTTTCAATCCCATTGCCATTCGGTTGTATTGGTACAAACCGTACTGGGTATTGATCGTGCAAAGTTTTTTGCTTGGCTCATCCAATTCAAAAGAATAATACATCATTGTGAAATCAAGTTTTGTGAAATACTTGTAGCCAGAACGACGTGCAACAATGTCATCAATCAAAGGCAAGGGGTATACTTTACGCTTGACATTCTTGTTCAGCTGTTGGAGATCGCTGATCCATCGCACCCTACCGTCCTTCTTTGGAATGATGAATGTTGGCGACGCCCATTCTGACGGTCCTGTTCGTTCAAGGACTTCAATCTCTTGTAGATGTTTCAACTCTTTGAGGAATGCAGGTTCATGTTGCTTCGGCACAGAATACGCTTTTGAAAACACGGGTTGCGCATTCTCAATGAGTTCCAAGTGAACCTTCTCATGCTTGTAATGGCCGAGTTGACCATCAAAAATCTTGTCTGTATTCTTCAACGCTTGAGCCAAAAGTTTGCGCTGATCTTCAGTTAGATGCTTTTGCTTGTCAGCAACTTCAGCACCTGAAGTAGCTTCATATTTCGCATCCATGATAAAGGCATCATCAGCATCATCATCATCATCGTAGATATCCAGAACATCGCGATCCAATGCCATTGAGTAGTTGGTGTAATTTTGCCAATGATCTGGAGCCTTCATTGGAATGAACTTGTATATCCATTTGACTTGTCCGTTTGAAAATTGGATATCCAAGCCCATTTTGTGTAGAAGGTTGCGTCCGATTATGACGTCATGTGGAAACGTTGGCGAATCGAAGACATTCGGCTTGACACCATTGACACCTGCGATTCTGCGGTGTTTGTCAAATTTGGGAAAGACTCCGTCCCGCAATTTCACACATTTGTCAGAAACAAAATCACCAGCAACAGTAGTACACTTCTTTGCATTTTGAATACTTTGTACCTTAGCATCTTTAGGAATCGCCCTTGCATTGATCATCGTATGCGATCCTCCTGAATCAAATAATACTTGTAAAACTTTTCCACTTTCAATTCCTCCAATTGTCTTCCAAATCACCAAAGATGTAGGTGAAAGTCTCTTTTTTCTCATCAAATCCTCCATAGAATTCACGTCTTGTTTTGGCGTAGGTATATGAAGCAAAGAATCATTCAAAATAAACTCCTTTTCATCTTTAGTCATGGGACCATCTGCATCATCAAATTTTTCCAATGCTGAAAGAAACAAAGACAAATCAGGTTCCAGAAATGGATTAGGAAGCTTAGGAAGCTCTGTTAGTTTACGAGTATTTTTGGGTCAGTAATGCTCTTCATGAAAGGAAAATGGCGAATCCTCATCATAGGAAAAATGTTCGTGCGCCTCCTGTTCTTCAGGATAATATTCTTCTTGTTCATAGTTGAATTGATCATTCCACTGCTGATTTTCTTCAGGTTGATAATATTGTTCCTGATGCTGGTACTGCTTGGCACTTGGCATTCCACCATAAGACATTCCGTCTTGGTTCCATTCAGGAACGCTACCTTCCGCAGCAAAGCTTTCAGCTTCTTGATTGTAGTGCGACTCAGCATAGTAGTTTTGACTGTTTTGTTGCTGTGATTGGCCTCTGCCTTGATAGTTTTGTCCTGGCTGAAAAAAAAAACGACCAGATTGGGAGCGTCCACTGCGCTGGCCATTGAATCCACGGCCTCTGCCACCATTGTTGGGGTGTCTTGGTTGAAATCGTCCTTGGTTTTTGTTGCTGGGAATTGCCTCCACGTTGAAAGCTTTGTGAATTCCCTTGAGAATATCTTGGAGAGTTCAAGGGTCTTGGATATGGTTGATAACCATTGCTTGGTCGACCATGACCACGACCACCACCAAAACGATTGTGGTGAAGGCCTCTACCGCCTGTGCGATTACCAGGTCGAGTTCAACGGTGAGAACTCTCCTGCATAAGTTTCTTCCTGTCCACTGCTCTTTTCTTCTGTGTCATCCAACTGACAATATCTTTCCACGTAATATCATCGTTGTTTGCCGGATCATTCCACGAATTGATAAAATCTCCCTGCCAATCAATTGGAAAGGAGCGAAACAGTGCCAGCTTTCTCTTCCGAATTTGACCCAGATCATTCTCATCCTTCACATTGGAAAAAATTTCCAGGAAGCATATCGTGATACATAAATAGGGTTTTCAAGCGATTTGCGTGAATTCCAATTTCAGTATTATATGGTTTGCGAATGTGGTTGAAAGTATCAAAGAGATACATGTTCGCCTGATACTTTGGATTTTCACCGTTAATTGGACCAGGGAGTGTCCGTCATTTGTACGTTTAGATAGTTTGCACACATCTTGTAAAATCCCCATGTTTCTCATCGTACTCGTTTTTGTCCCGAATCTCTCGTACCTCGCTACTCAATTTAACGGTTTATCAGACCCAAGCAATCCACAATGGATAGAGGAGCCTGGGAAGGCTTTCGAATAATATCTGTTTGAGGAAATTGCCTCATTCAGCCATGGTTAGGATCACCATCGTCGTATCGATCTCGTGATTTTTTCATGCCACAATTTTGGCGTTCGGATGCGCACCAAAGGCTAATCACAATAAAAGAGCCAACCACATATCTTGGTGCAACAATCTCGAAGCACAAGTTGGATGGTAATGATTATTTCACCTGGGCTATTGGATCTGAAGCGTATCTACAAGAGCCGTTACGAGTTGTCAAGAAACGAATTGCGCCAATGCAACTGACTTTGAAGAAAAAGGTTTACTCAACTTTACCCACTGGATACAAGCCGGAACTTGATTCTACTCCTTTTGTCGATGATGATACTGCTATTTTCTACATGCAACTCATTGGTATTCTGCGCTGGCTTGTAGAACTTGGTCGTATCAATGTCGCCGCCGAAGTGTCTATGCTCTTGTCTTACAATGCAATGCCTCGTGAAGGTCACTTTCATGCTGCCTTACATATTTTTGCCTATTTACAGAAGCATCCTGATTGTGTACTTGTGATGGATTGTGGTTATGCTGACCATCTTAGACCATTAAAGAAAGCTGATTACTCACAGTTCTATGAGTTCACTACTAAGAATGAACTCCCAAGTGAGATGCCTATACCTCTTGGCAAAGCGGTAGAGTTTACTATGTTTGTTGATGCATCTCATGCTGCTAACGTTGTTACTCGTCAATCAAGAACAGGAGTGTTGATCTTTGTTAACAAAGCTCCTATCATCTGGTATTCGAAAAAGCAGAACAGTGTCAAGACAAGCAGTTTTGGTTCTGAATTTGCTGCTCTAAAGACAGGTGTTGAATTACTTGAGGGACTACGATTAAGCTCAGAATGATGGGCGTCCCAATCCAAGGTTATTGTCATACTTGTGTTGACAATATGTCCGTTGTCAAGAACTCAAGTGTTCCTGAATCCCAATTGAAAAAGAAGTCGAATGCTGTTGCATATCACTATGTTCGCTCCAGATGCGCAATTGTTATCCTACGAATTGAATGGATCATTTCCGCTGAGAACTCGGCCGACGTTTTAACCAAGATCCAACCTGGAACCGTTCGTGACCGTCTTATGGAACACATCATGTGGAAAGCAAAGCAAAATGGAAAACTTGCTCTTCTGATTTAATTTTTGGAAACGTCGTCATCCGTCGCCGGATATTGTCAGTCTTGGACAGTATTGGATGATACGTCCTCCCAAGAGGGGGTACGGTTGATATTAGCCCAATTCTGAGTACAAGGTTCTCTGATACATCAGTATCACCTTGAGGGGACCGTTAATTGGACCAGAGAGTGTCCGTCATTTGTACGTTTAGATAGATTAACCTAGAGATTCGCACACATCTTGTAAAATCCCCATGTTTGTCATCGTACTCGTTTTCGTCCCGAATCTCTCGTACCTCGCTACTCAATTTAACGTCACCAGTGTATTCGCAAATGAATTCATCGACAGAATCTTCAAAGTCCTGAACTGAGTTCCCATGAGCATCCGAAATCCTCTGATAGGTCATGTGCGGTTCAGCAGTGAGGAATTGCTTGAACAAGGCCTTCTTTTGACGACCCTGATTGAGTCCCCACTCTGAAGAGATGTTGCAAAAGGATTGAATGGACCTGAGGAGTGGTTCAACATTCTTTCCACTTGCACCATTCCAAACTTCAACCTTTCGCTTGCGCTCAAAGTTGTTGTCGAAGAAACTGACATACTGCATCACTGGATTAGTGACTTCCCTGGCCTTGTATGCCAATGGAGAGTCGCCCTCATTGACAATGATGGTTTGACGGAGCATGTGCGTAGAAGCCATCGTAGAAAAAGTACTGGTGTGTAAAACTTGTTGTAAATCTGAAAGGATCGAGGTTTTTCGATCAAATCAAACAGCAGTTGCTTGTGTGTGAGAGAGTATACTCTTGTAGTCTTCAATCTAAGCCTTATGGCTATTCGAATAGTGAACCAGCCTAGAAGAAGAGATAGGAATGGGTCACAACAAAAGTTATAGAGTCTCTCAGAAAGCCACAGAAAGGAGTGACGTGAGAGTTAGGCCTAAAGCTATGTCTGTACCTCCAAAGGGTCTAATCTAGTTCTAAGGTCACTCCAAGGTCTTTACAGAGGCAGGATGGCTAGGTCTGCGGGCGTTTTGTTTGCATCCCTATTCGGCTGGTTAAACAATTAACGGACATTGAGGCAGTGGGAATCCCCGGATTTCTCCCCTAGTTGCGAGATTTTCCCACAGCTCAATTTTTCCCACAACTCAATTTTTCCCACAACTCAATTTTGCTAGTTGTGGGAATTCCCTCAACAGTTGTGGGAAAACTGTCATTTCTACACAGAAAACCACGTAGGATATGTACTGAGACAAATTTGAAGTTTCCCACAACTCTAATTGTAGTTGTGGGAAGTTTCCCACAACTCTAATTAATTTATTGGGAATTATGGGAAAACTGTCCGTTCTACGGAAAACTGTCCGTTCTACACACAAAACAACGTTTGATATGTACTGACTAGAAATTAGACAACTACATATGATGTTTCCCAAAAACTCTAATTGTTTTCGTGATATTTCGTGATACATTTAAGGCAAAAAACGGACAGCTGCGCAACGGAAATTCCCACAACTAGTTGTGGGAAATTCCCATAACTAGTTGTAGGAATTTCCCACAACTATTTTTTAAGATTTCTACAACTAGTTGTGGGAATTTTTGGCAAAAATCTGTTCCCACAACTATCGCGTTAAATATCGCGGGGACGAAATAAAATGAAAAGGGGGAATCCCACTGCCTCATTTCAATTGCGTGCGTTGCACGTTGTGGTGCGTTCGAGAGTGAATGACGTTGTCTCTACGATCTGTGGATGATGACTGCTGGCGCGAGGTGTGCCGGCGATTTCCTTGTAGCTCCCTCGGCTGGATGATTCGCAGTTCTGATTGACCTAAAGTCGTACCAGTACCGGTACCCGGTACGGTACAGTATTAATACCGGTAGGTGCACTGTATGTCATCAACTCAACCCCGAAGTCAGATTTGTGAAAGAATCGCATAATGAAGAATCGAATTTCTCCACATATCTGGTTTCAACTGTATTGCTACTAGTTCACAAACCCAAGTCAGCAATGCCAGGTGATGATGAAAAGAGTTTATTTGATGCATCAGGATCCAAGATTGTACCATGCGACTCATCAGCACCAGGATTTCGAACGTCAGTAAGAAGGAGATCTTCGCTGTTCAATACCTTACCGACCGGCCGATCACGTAGTGAAAAGAAAAGTGGGATCTGCGATAATGAACAGTCGCAGTCGCAGTCGCACTCTACAATCGTTCTGGAATCCCAAATGCTGTCCAACACTGCCTTGGAACTACCATCTCAGGATAGACAGCACAAAAAACGCAAATCTCTTTTTGGCGCTGTGATGAAACGATCTGATTATCTCGAGCCTGCCGCGGACACCATCCACAGATCCCCAAACACACCAGCTATCAACAAGCGCGAAGTCGAAGAATCAAATCTATTCGATGGTATTGGCGATAGCGTCATGAGTCCAACGGGGAAAACGATAATGGGTTTTGTCAACAACTTTGGCAGCAGTCCATTCCGTTTCCAATCTCCGAAAAAAATGTCTCTTGTACATAGCGAGCCGAAAACTGCATCACATGTTGACCACAAACAACGTTTCATCTCCAAGAGAGGGAAATATAGCGGTGTTGCTCATAATTATCTATACTCCAAGAGAGACGATTGGTTGGAGATACCTATGGTTGGAGATCAGTTGGCCTGTTTGGACTTCTCGCTTCGAACAACACTTCTTGTCGAGTGTTCAAATCAATTGAAGTTCTGCCTTCGCTCGGTTTTGGTCCAAGACAATATTCAAAAACATTTGAAATATTGGATATTTCCGCATTTGCCGCTGGGTTCATTGTCTACTTCGCTCCCTCTGTCTATAGGCCATAATGCAAGATCTGGTAAAATTTCTGTGCGCGGTTCTTCAAAAATAGATTTCTCTAAAAATCCGACACAGGAAACACTAGAAATGTCTGCTGCCGATCTGAACAAAAGACTGACTGATCTCTTGAAAGCTGACGCATTGCTGTACTCGACAAAGCACCTTGGGAAATCTCAACGAAAAATCATTGCAACTAACTTGACCAGCTCGATGTACCCGTTGCGCTGGCAGGAAGCAACAAGATCTATTTTCTTGAATTGGTGTTGTAGTATCAAGGCACTTTCGACGACGACTACCAATACTACAAGAGCTTCCAACGACACGAATACCAACAAAAAAGAGACGAGCATGATTGCAAACGAAATTTACTTCTACTGTGTCGCGAAAGATCATGTAGCTATGTTTCGAGTTGATGAAACTGTTGATGACAATATGGAGAATAAATATGAACCAAGAGTCATCCTTTCCAATATTACTGCTGATTTTCAAAGAAAACTTGAGGGTGAAGGGGTAGACGAGATCCAATTTCTCAACGATCCAAAGTCCGAAGTAGCAGAAGGATTTTCTCCCCGACAGAAAGATTCTTTTGCTCCGATGAGCCCAAATGTTAAGGCCGAACTTGAAGCCTTACGGCGAGCTCAGGTTTTAGGCGAAAACGCAGGAGCTGATGTTCGCGTAAAGTCGGATGCGAAGAGAGCGAAAATATCTCCCGCAAGTAGAGCGGAAACACCTTGTAGCATCTGTGGGTTTGACAATGTGTCTTGTTTCTTTGAAGTATTCTTAAATTCACTTGGACAGATGAATTCTATACAGAATCAGCAACCAATACTGCCTATTTTGGTATGCGACACAATGGGACCATTTTTGCATTCAACCCTCGAGACTTTGGAGTCCCGACCAGTAAAGACTACGGGAGCTCAATCACTGCGGTTGGAAGGCTTGATCATGCCTAGCGCGTTTCGAAATGTTGTGGCAAGTATCACAAGAGAGGTTACAAAAATTGGTTCAGCTCCACAACCTCAGCGCGATGTGTCTGAGGATAGAGAAGGCACTTCTTACGTGCTCATCGAAACCGCGATCAACAACGAGTCGAGCCCAGTGTCAAAGCAATTGGAGGATTCCAGAGCCTTCAACGGGTGGAACAAGAATGAGGAGAGTCAGCCCGGATCAAAGAAGACATTGGAATGCGAGAAGGGGAGATGCATCAAGCGGTTGGTTTGGGAAGCTGAAAATCCCGAAGTACTAGCTTGCAATTTTGAGTAATGGTCCCCAGATCAGATCATTGCACTGAAATTGGTTGATCTTGTACGTTTGGTCTCACATTTCGCGATCGATCCAGACGAACAGTCTCCTTAATTCCCCGGCGTTAGGTCTAACACACATGTCCTTAATTCCCCGGCGTTAGGTCTAACACACATGTCCTTAATTCCACGGCGTTAGGTCTAACACACATGTCCCTACGGAGCTGAGAACCAGAATCTGCTGTACGTAAAAGCAAACACGATTGTTCAAAAAGCAACGGTAGAGATTGGGAAAGGACCTGTCGTTTTGATTCATTTTATTGAACAGTATCAAACGTCTTCGTGCGAATACTCAAGAAATTGCATTCAGCTAATTTTACGTGAGAACATCAAGTAGCATCAGTCCCTTGGTTTAACACATCTAGCAACCCAAATCTATCCTAAAATCAAAATATCTACAATTGCGTGTCCGTCTCTTTGTTGTATTCAAGCACTCGATCTACAAGACCATATTCCATGGCTTCATATGCACCCAAGAAGTTGTCACGGTCAAGATCATTGGTAATTTGATCTTGAGTTTGTCCAGTCATCATCGAGTACATTTTGACAAGATTATCCCGGATTCTCATAATTTGAGCAGCTTCGACCTTGATATCCTCAGCTTGTCCTTGGGCTCCCCCCATGGGCTGATGGATCATGGTTCTTGATGACGGCAATGCAAGCCGTTTGCCTTTGCTTCCCGCAGCTAAGATGAAACTAGCCATACTCGCTGCAAGACCGAGGTTAATCGTAATGACCTCCGATCTGATGTGTTGCATGCAGTCAAAAATTGCCAAACCAGAAATCACAGAGCCTCCAGGGGAGTTAATGTAGAGGTAGATTGGCTTTGATGAGTCTTCCGAATCAAGGTACAGCATTACACCAATCACTTGGTTTGCGAGTTCGTCGTCGATTTCAGATCCCAAGAATATAATGCGCTCACGATACAGACGATTGTAAATATCGACCCTATTGAAAATGTAATGAGAGAATAATTCACGCATGCTCATTGGTCGGGCGAAAACCCGTATTGAACGTACCAGTCCGCTTGTTGAGATCCTGGAACGCGGTAAGCTACCTTTGGAACACCAATGGGCATCATCTTGACACCTGCTGCGCCAGATGATTGCTTCCTATTCTTCGAAGCAGACTTCCACGAGGTGATTTTTGGCATTGGCGTAACGATGTCGTTTGTCCGGGGAACAAAAGAAGGTGCTGTGAACGATATTACCAGAACAGACAAAGTTAAGAGAGCTCAAGTGAAGGTGCCAAGACGATTCCAATTCCAGCATTAAAACTTGCACCATCGATTTGATCTCAAGGATTGTAGCACCTACCATATGCGCAAACATAGTGCAAAAGCGAAGAAAATCCGATGATGGAAAGCAGATTCCTCATTGTCGTTCGAAAGTTGAGAATATGAGCTGGACAGCATTTTATCCAGTTCTGACTTACCGTACAGTACTGCATCCTTTCGTCACGTGGAAGCCAAATACCTGTACGGGCTGCCAGCTACGACGAAGGTACTTTCTTAGCTCCAAAAGATTTTCTGTCCTTAAAATTCTTGCCTGACCTACAGTATTTAGAGGTTTGTTTCTTGAGCACTCATTCATTGCAATCACCGCTGCTAGGTCAAAATTTGTACAAATTCGATTTTCTGAACCATAATGGTATTCATGCTCCTAGTCGCATGAACCGTTCACTAATGCGCTGTACCAATGATTGATTGGCAAGACGGGAGACGCTTGGTGTTTCTAGCTCTTCCTTAGTCTCAATTTCCGTCACGTCGATTGAGACCCCATTCCGAACGATCACTTTTTGGAATATTTTCGTTAATTGGACCAGAGAGCGTCCGTCGTTCGTACGTTTAGATAGTTTAACCTCTAGAGATTCATTCATTCGCACACATCTTGTAAAGTCCCCATTTTCGTCCCGAATCTCTCGTACCTCGCTACTCAATTTAACGGTTTATCAGACCCAAGCAATCCACAATGGATAGAGGAGCCTGGGAAGGCTTTCGAATAATATCTGTTTGAGGAAATCGCCTCATTCAGCCATGGTTAGGATCACCATCGTCGTATCGATCTCGTGATTTTTCCATGCCACAATTTTGGCGTTCGGATGCGCACCGAAGGCTAATCACATCGCAGCGTTAACTAAATTGTTCACTAGCGAAGGCTCAACGGCAGAGGTGCCATGCGTGCAACCATCCGTGCCACGTTTATATACAGCTCTCAATATGAGATGCTTCGACATTTAGGGCTAAATTATTTGAAGTTGCCAGATATCACCAACATTTGCCTTCTGGCCATTTCTCTCCAGTGATTTCTGGCTTCAAGTCCGACACTTTTCGACCTGAAACCAAACAACACATCAAAAACAACAAAAATCGTCCACACATCATCGCATCACAATGGCTGCTGCTATTCAATTTCGTAACTGGTGCAAAGTCGACCTCCTTATTCGACCCGTCCTCACGCAACACATGACCGATGTTGAAGGTCTTGACTCTGTTGACTCCTTCGCCAACAGGACCACTTCTCAAGTTCATGAAGGCATCAAATCTATGCGAAGAGCCCCTGATCCCAACAATGCAAATGTGACTATCGGAGTCACCGCTCGCGAATCGATGACTATTCATCGTATCTCCAAATATGGGAAGCTCCTCATTTTGGTTCAAAGAACCCATACTCCAGCCCTTGGAACCATCCCAAATCTCCTTTTTATTGGTCAATTCTATGATGAAAACCCGGATCTCATGGAAGGGGACTCCTACCCACTTCCTCCTCATCCTCCAAAGTTCAACAATCGCGATGGTCGAATCATGATGAAAACATTGAAAGTTGGGCTCGTACCGCCTATGGATATCGTGGAATTCGCCTTGATTATATTTTCCGTGAAAATTCTGAACTTCCACTTGCTGGTGACCCTGGGTTCCTCCAAGCCGCCGACGGCTCTCGCTCCATCAAAGAAGAACTTGTCCGACGTGCTGCCCACACTGGTGCTGTGTTCCGTCGCAACAACCAGAAACTTTGGGTTATGCTCCATGCTGTCACACATGAAACTGATGCCTACAATCACGTTCGTCAATTTGCTCCAACTTTGAATGGCCGTGCTACTTACTTTGCTCTGTTTGCACAATATCGTAGAAGGGGACATTTCACCAATGAACGCCAAGCTGCTGTCCGTGTCCTCACAACACTTCACTGGAACGGTAAAGCTTGAGGCTTCACTTGGAATTGTTGGAATTGCTCTCTTGGAGACCATTCATTGGAAACTCCTTGATAGAAGCAGTTTGACACGTCCGATCGGACAGACGGACAAATGTCCGTTTGGTCTGTTTATTCGGGGGATTCCTATGAGTCGGTTTTGCAGGGAATCTGAAAACATGGAATTGTGCGCTTGGACTATCAAACGTCTGAGCGCCACGAAAATCCCATACTGAATCCTGCGGGAGTTCGTACCGGCCTTTCTGGATTGCATAACATCCAGTAAAGTTTTGGGAAATTTGAGTTTTCGTGCAAGGCTCTTGCTTTGCCCTTTCCATGTAGATAACAAGTCGTTTAGAATAGTTATTTCCTGTAGAGATGATTATTTCATATTAGACGGATCGGAGATCGCTATGGTTAGTGCCGATGCATGACGATGCATGACGACTTGATGGGTCGCATGCTGGCACGGCTGGTTGGCAATTATGGCTTGATGGGCCACAACGTTGTCAATCGGTTTGGACGAAGAAAAGCAGTCTGATGTCCGCCAGAACCGATTTCCAACATTATCTTCATGGAAAAAAGGGTGGGGAGAATGGTAAGCGTTTTGTAATGGTTGTATGAGCTGATTGTTGTTTTTCCACCGCTCCCACCGTGTCTTTCTTCTTCCCATTGAACTTGCAAAAGTGCGACGCGCCGAGAGCCAAGAGGGCCAAGAGCTGACAGTCGCCATGGAACTTGTTAGAATAAAGCAAAATGTGCTCTATCGTGAGTGCTTTTAGCGCTCAGAACAAACTCTCTGCAATCTAAATTTGTAATCGACTGTACAACACTTTCACGACAATAGTTCTCCTGTGTCTAGGTAT